TTAGTCTGGGCATGAGTGAGTCCCAGCATGAGTAACTCTGAGTAGGAGTTCTGAGTAGGAGTAGGTCTGAGTATGAGTAGGTCTGATTATGACTAATGTTGTGTGTGAGTAAGTCTGGGTATGAGTAAGTCTGAGTGTGAGTCAGTCTGTGTATGAGTAAGTCTGGGCATGAGGAGGGGAGGGGAGGAGAAGAGGAAGAAGAAGGAGTAGGAGGCGTCCAAGTAATAACAAGAACCCCATCTCAGGATATGGGGAATACTTACTTGGACGCCTCCTACTCCTTCTTCTTCCTCTTCTCCTCCCGTCTCCTCCTCATACCCGGACTTACTCATACACAAACTTGGGGAGCTCCACGCAGTGTATAATTACTTGGACGCATCCTACTCCTTCTTCTTCCTCTTCTCCTCCCCTCCCCTCCTCATACCCATACTTACTCATACACAGACTGACTCCAACTCAGACTTACTCACACACCAAATTACTCACACTCAGACCTACTCATACTCAGACCTATTCCTACTCAGATTTACTCATGCTGAGACTCACGCACGCCCCGTTCGCGGCCGTTTTGTGGGGATGTCTCAAGCGGTTTGCCTGTCTTCTGTCCCAACATCCTTCGCTTTCGGAGCAGATTTGGAGGATGTCTCGAGCGAGGCGCTCATTTTCACCGCCCTAAGGGGAGCCGCCAGGGGTTATATCACGGTCCCGTTCGCGGCCGTTTTGTGGGGATGTCTCAAGCGGTTTGCCTGTTTTCTGCCCCAACATCTTTCGCTTGGAGAGCAGATTGTGAGGATGTCTCAGGCGGGGCGCTGGTTTCAACACCCCTAAGGGGAGCCGCCGAGGGGTATGACACGGTCCCGTTCGCGGCCGTTTTGTGGATATGTCTTGAGCGGTTTGCCTGCTTTCTACCCCAACATCCTTCGCTTGGAGAGCAGACTGTGAGGATGTCTCAGGCGGGGCGCTGAAAGTCTCCCAAGTCTCCCAAGTCTGTCAGGTCTCCTAAGTCGCCCAAGCCTCCCAAGCTTCCCAAGCCTCCCAAGCTTCCCAAGTGTCCCATGTCTTCCATGCCCCCCCCAAGTCTCTAAAATCCCCCAAGTCCCGCAAGTCTCCCACGTCTTCCATGTCTCCCAGCAGGAATACCAAGTCTCCTAAGTCTCTCAAGTCTCCCGAGGCGACCAACTCTCCCAAGTCTCCCATGTCGCCCAAGTCTTCCATGTCTCCCAAGGTTCACAACCCTCCCAAGTCTCCCGAGTCTCCCGAGTGCCCCATGTCTCCCAAGACTCCCAAAGTTCCCAAGGCTCCCAAGGCCCCCAAGTCCACCACGTCTCCCAAGTCTCCCACGTTCCCCGAGTCTCCCAAATCCGCCGACCCCTTGGGGATCATCGGCGTGTGAGATGCTTCCCCCTCCCCAAACCCCTCCCCCGGGAGCCCGGTCCGGTCGATTTGGAGGGGGGGGGGGTCCGGCGCGAGCGGGGGGGGTCCGGGACGAGCGACTCACGGGGCTTTTCCGGGCCCAAGAGGGCCTCAAGACGGGCCAAGAAGCCCCCAAGAGGCCTCCAAGACGGCCCACGAAGGCTCCGAGACGCCAAACGACCGCTCCAAGACGCCCACGATGGCCCCAAGACGGGCCAAGAGGTCTCCAAGACGGCCTCCGAGGTCCCAAACAAGCCTCCCAAGAGGGCCCAAAGAGTCTAAAATTGTTGATTTTCCCGAGTGTTTTTCGACGTTTCTTGCTTTCCCGCCTTTCCGGCTTCCCGACGCTCCAAGACGGCCAAAGAGGCCCCAAAGATAGCCCCAAGATGGCCCAAGAGGCCCCCAAGACGGCCTCCAGACGGCCCAAGACGGCCCCAAGACGGCCCAAGAGGTCCCCAAGACGGCCCAAGAGGGCCGATTTGGAGGGGGGGAGGGGGCCGGGACGAGCGCAGCACGGCCGGGACGAGCGGTTCCAGGGCTTTTCCGGGCCCAAGAGGGCCTCAAGACGGGCCAAGAAGCCCCCAAGAGGCCTCCAAGACGGCCCACGAAGGCTCCGAGACGCCAAACGACCGCTCCAAGACGCCCACGATGGCCCCAAGACGGGCCAAGAGGTCTCCAAGACGGCCCCCGAGGTCCCAAACAAGCCTCCCAAGAGGGCCCAAAGAGTCTAAAATTGTTGATTTTCCAAAGTGTTTTTCGACGTTTTTTGCTTCTCCGCCTTTCCGGCTTTCCGACGCTCCAAGACGGGCAAAAAGGCTCCAAAGATAGCCCCAAAATGGCCCAAGAGGCCCCCAAGACGGCCTCCAGACGGCCCAAGACGGCCCCAAGACGGCCCAAGAGGTCCCCAAGACGGCCCAAGAGGGCCGACTTGGAGGGGGGGAGGGAGCCGGGACGAGCGCAGCACGGCCGGGACGAGCGGTTCCCGAGCCCAACCTGGCTCCATTATGCCTCTCAGATGGCCCCAGATGAGACCACGACCGCCCGCGGTGTCGCCGTCCGCTCGGACACCCCCGCGGAACTGCCCGAGACCCTCTGGCAGTGGCGGCGAACAGACACCAAACAAATATCACTCGCCTTTTCACCCCTTCGCAGCTTCTACTGCCCCCCGATTGGCATAAACAAGGGGTCGGCGGTGTGGCGTAAGCCTAAGAATCACCCAAACCTCCCACGTCATCGCTATGACCTATGAGGAGGAGGAACGAAGAGGATGGGCGCAGGTTCAGTCGTATTCAAACCTTACTCACGCAAATCGGTGTTTAGCCGTCTTCGTCGGACCTGTCGACCACGTGGACGCGCTCTTATAGTCAGGCATTCATAGAGAAACGTTCACTATGGCATATCATCAAACATGAGATGCACATATGGGGAGCTTCACGCAGTGAGTAATTTTGCATCCGGGAGCCGTCTCAGAGGCCTCCTGGACCGTCTGCAGGGAGTCCAGGTAGGCCTTTTTTGGACCCTCTGGGAGCCCAGTTCGGCCGTTACGGGTCCCTCTTCGCCCGTCATGGGGACCTGAGCCCGTCTTGGGGCCCTCGGGGGGCCCTCACCGACCATATGGGGATCCTCCGGTGGCTCCATCGGGGTTCCTGGGTACTCTCTTGGGCCGTGTTGGAGCTCACTTGTGCTGCTTGAAGCTCTCTTCAGGCCGTCTGGGGGCCCTCTTGGGGGGCCTCTTGGGCCGTCTGGAGCTCATTTTGGGGACCTCTGGGGCGTCGCGGCCGCTGGTAGGACTGACAAGCAAATGTCCAGGAAATGTACGTTTTCCATCGGAAATCCTTGGTTTCTGCCCTTGGAGGGCCTTCTCGGCGGCCTCTCGGACCGTCTTGAGTGCCTTTGTGGCCGTCTGGGAGCAGTCTTGGGCTGTCTTCCAGCGCTCCTGGCCCGTCCAGAAGCCATCTCAGTGCGCTCTTCAGCCACCTTCCAGACAACCTGAGGCGTTTTGGGCGCCTCTTGGGCCAGCTTGGGAGCCTCTGGGGAGGTCCGGGGCCCCTTCTGAACCCTCTTGGAGCCCTCAAGGCCCCCCCGGCCCCCCGTGCGAACCAGAGGTCGCAGTTCTGGGCCCTCCCCTGGTCTACTCCGATATCTATATGTCTATCTATCTATCTATCTATCTATCTATATATCTGTGTGTGTGTCTATCTCTATCTATATAAGCACTATGCAATTAGCAAACAAGCACACGTGCAGGATGTGTGTATGGTTTTCGTGTAAGGTTTGTGTTATGTGTGCGCTGTGTGCTGTGCGTATGAGATGTGTTAGTTACGTGTGGGTCGTGTGCTTTGCCTGTTATGCGTGTTGTACGTTGAGTGTGTGCGCTGTGTGTTCTGTTCGTTGTGTGTGCGCGTTGTGTGTGATACGTGTGTGTTGTGTTGTGTGTGCGTCTGTGGGTGCATGCTCTCTATGTGTTATGTGTATTGTAGGTGTTGTGTGTGCGTGTGTTATGTATGTGTTGTGTGTGCTTGCATGTTATGTTTATGCGTTATATTTGCATTATCTGTATGTGCTGTACGTCGGAAGCTCGGTTCTGGGAGGATGTCTCAAGCGAAACTACCTGTGTTAAGAATTGCATTGACAAGGACTCGATCTGGGGAGGATGCCTCGGGCGAAACTGGATTGTTCGAAGAATCGGGCTCCAAATCATCAAATTCCATTGTAATATTGCAGGTTATATGTTCAGATAATTATAGAAAGGCTATGTGTTTGGACCGTGACGTCGCGATCTGCGTGAGGAGTGCAACCAATGTTCAGAGTGTTGAGGATGTCCGACCGAAACGGCCAGACAAATCTCGAACGGGACGGGAATTAATCGCCTCTGAGCTCTACGCCCTCGGAGAGGTGGAGGCACCTAGCCTCTGCAAGCCGACGATGATGCAAGGCGGAAGAGTGGAGTCGGACGAAAATTCGCTCACCATTCGAGTCATCCGACTGGGAAGCAGAAGGGACCTCAACGAAATTCTTGACTTGCTGTGAGCTCGTGGAATCTACAGGGTTCAATAGACGCATCCAGCGTCGTCGGCAAGTTGCTCGCCGAGCAGTGACTCCGTTTGGGCTCGAAACCCCTCTGCCAGCCCCGCGGCGCGGAGTTGGACGCGGCCCCAGAGAGGTGCCGCCAAGCTCCCCGCCCCAAGCCCCCTCTGGATCTGGTCACCCCTGGGACCCTGGGCCCCAGATAAGAATATGGAAACACCTACAGCACGCTGGCGCACCGCCACTCAAGGCAGGCGAAGAGTACGACGCGAAGTGCACCGTGCAAGTCCTGAATCGAACGCAATGCAGCACGAAGACGAGGACCGCGGCAGATGCGTGCATGGGCAGCCCAGACATCCGACGTTGTAACTTTAGTCGCAGCACGACTTTCCCGAGGCCTGGACCCCTTCCTGGGAACAGGCTTCTCATCCCGAGTGGAGTTTTGACAATCCTGGAGCCAGCCCAGCGAGGGCCCCTGGAGGCCCAAAAAATTGCCGAAAGCCTCCCGCCGCGATCTGTCGCACGACGAGGGGACGTCAATGAGGCTGGCGTGGGCCGTCCAGAGCCCCAGCTCGTGCGCCCGCAGCTCCCAGGTGCCAGCGCCGGCGCCAACCGCCGCACCACCTGAACTGGGGGGGAGAGCGCGCTGCAGAGGGGTTGGCGCCGCGCCCAAGGGGAAAGGCGGAGGGGGCGGGCTTTTCTACGAACAGTTTGTGAATTCAAGTGGGCCCTCCATGACCGGCTCGGAAGACCTGAAGGGGCATGATTGTGCAGATATCTCTGAGCTCGGCCGAACCGCATAGATGCCCCCAAACAAGCAACATCCCGCAATGACACGTTTTCCTAGACAGCCGGCAAAATCAGGGAGGCAAACTGAACAGTCGCCGCGGAGATCTGGCTTCTCTGCTCTCTTCCGTGTCGTGAACTTGGTTCTGCGCCGGGCGGAATGATGCAGCAGCCGTGACATCGCCAAGATGTCAGGGATCCCGGACGTTATACAAAATTAAGTTCTTGCGACGACCATCGGTATCGCACATTCCTGAGAGGCAATTGCCAGCAGGGGGGTGGACGATGTGTCAAAGAGAGAGGCGAAGAGGGAGAGAGGGACAGGGGGTAAGACAAGTGGAGGGGAACCCTGCTGTGCAGTCTTGGAACAAACGGTGTGGTGCTGGTGTTTGACCCATCTCTTGAAGCACTTGCATGATACCGAGGCGCTACTGGGTCACCTCGGGGCGGGGGATATCAAGTAATGTCTTGCATCCGAAGAAACGTATTCTAGCAATGCTAGGGTCATTATCGGAGCAACTCTGGTATCTTCGGGTACTCCTGGACCATTACCGTGCTGTTTTGGACACGAATCGAGCCCGATGGGAGATACCTTGGCCTGAAAGGAGCGAGAGACGAGCCGTACTCAAACACCACATCTTGCGCACTTCCATGTCTTGTGGAAGTGGTCGTGGTGCGAATACTGGGGCGGTGCTGGTGCGGTTTTGGGTGATCGCCGTGAGCTAGCTGGTGGCTTCAGGCGTTCAACAGAACAGAGGGAGGAGGAGGAGGAGAAAGAGGAGGGGAGGATCAGGAGGTGAAGGAGGAGGGGGAGTGGGAGGAGGAGGAGGAGGAGGAGGAGGAGAGAGGAGAGATGCCCATCCCTCCTAATTGCGCTGCTTGTTGTGTTGTATGTATGTGTATCTATGTCTAAATACAAATATAAGATACATACGACTATTCAGATGGGCACCCCCAGGAAACTGACACAGATGCCCCCCCCCCCCCAGAATCTGGTGGTCCCCACAGGCCCCAGGAGTCCCTGAGGCTCTCTCTGGTCTCCCACTCGGGCCGCCAGTGGCAGGCCTACATGTTCGTATAAAAAGGTGTCACATGTTCAGTCCACCTCGCTTCTGATGGCCAGCTGTGCCAGAAGCTATGCGAGAAACATAGGTCACAGCATCGTCCAATGCGATGGCCTCTGCAGTGAACGACGACACGTGGGAGCCAGGGCAAATGCCACACGCTGCTATAGGGAAAGTATGCGTGAAACCGTTGCGACTCACTAAGGACTCGAATATCCATTCCGTGGCGGAGGACCTCAGCAGCACGGAAGCCCTCCGTCCCTCCACTTCTTCGCGCCCCTCCCCTCCTCCCCCCTCCCTCATCCCCCTCCTCCTCGCCCTCCTCCTCCCCCTCCTCCTCCTCCTCCTCCCCCTCCTCCTCATCCTCCTCCTCATCCTCATCCTCCTCCTCTTCCTCTCCTCTCCTCCTCCTACTCCTCCTCCTCCTCCTTCTCCTCCTCCTCCTCCTCCTCCTCCTCCTCCTCCTCCTACCCTCCTTCCCTACGTACCCCTCCTCCCTTCCCCCTCTTCCCCATCCCCCTCTTCTTCTCCTCCTCCTCCTCCTCCTCCTCCCCTCCTCCTCCTCCTCCTCCCCCTCCTCCCTTCCCCCTCTTCCTATCCATTCTCCTCCTCCTCCTCCTCCCCCCCCTCCTCCTCCTCCTCCTTCTCCTGGTCCTCCGACTCCTCCCCAGCCCGTCCCGCGGACGCCAGGCGGTAGGGCCACCGGCGCCCGGCTCCGCGGGCAACCGGCGGCAGCAGCAGAGCCCCACGCGCAGCGGCAGCGGGCCCCTCCGCAGGCACTCGGCCTTATCCAGCCGCTCCTCCTCCAGAGGAGGAAGGAGAGGAGGAGAGAGGAGAAGAGAGGAGGGAGGAGGAAGGAAAAGAGGAGAGAGGACGGAGGAGGGAGGAAGGGAGGAAGGGGGAGGGGGACGGGGAGGAGGAGGAGGAGGAGGAGGAGGAGGAGGAGAAGGACAGCAGAGGAGAAGGAGGAGGAGGAGGAGGCTGCTGAGGCTGCTGATTATACGCCCTGTGTCCCCGTGTCTCTGGGACTTGCCATGCAGGGCGAGCACCTCGGCCGACGCCGAGGCGCATGCGGCCGAGCCAATACCCAGCCAATGCCAATTCAGGATAGTACCTCAGACCGACGCAGAGACACCAGCGCCGAGCAGATGCCCAGCCTTGAAACTTGGAGCCACCCGACGGCGACTGAGAATTGAGGAAGCACCAGCCGCTGCGAGAGGACGAACCAGGGCGAAACGGAAAATGGAGCAAGCTCCCCCGCATCCCGCGAGGGCGGGTAGGGAGGCTCAGGTCTCCCTACCATCACCGCTCCGCCGCTCCCGCGAACCATCGCTTCCAGCTTAACAGCGCCGCAACCGACGGCCGACCTAGGCGCCCGTCGTCAGGAGGCGGAAGCCCTCCACATTCAGCAACTCATTCAACTCTGCGGCGGTGAACCGCTCCTTGGCCAGGGCGAGGAGCTCCAGCAAGACGAAACTCTCGCCAAAGGACTCTCCGCCGTTCTTCCTGCACTTGCCGATGCCCTTGGACTTGCCCTTGGCCTTGGCCTTGGCCTCGACCTTGCCGATGCCGTCAGTGCGACAAACCACTTCAGGTCGAGGTCGTTCAGCAGCAGGCTCAGGAGGCACAAAACTGTGCATGCAGAATGCGTCCTCCTCAGGCATTCCACGAACATCATCAGGCACGACGGCACAGCACTCAGGGTGTTCACGACGTAAGCACTTCCATTCCATCAGGCGCACCACGGCCAACAAGCCTCCGCCACGCCTTGAAGGAGAAGTCGTTGAGGTTTCTGCTGTAATCTTCGTCGGCGCTGCCCTCCTCGTCGGAGGAGTCGGCGCCCCCGATGAAGTACTCCTCAAGCTTCACTGGCTCGCCCAGCGGTTGCGCTTCCGAGGTAGCGGCGCCTCCGAAGTGTCCGACTCCAGCTGGCACTTGAGGAACATCAGCAAAAGCCCGCACCGATGCGGCCCCTACGTGTCCAAACGGGCATTGCCCATGTTTTTGAAGGTGCTCGGCGGCAGCTCCAGCTCCACACCCCTCTCGAGGTGAGCAAACTCCGTCTCCAGGCATGCGAGGCCACGCTCCGCCAACGCCTGTTCTAACTGCAGAAGGTCCACAAAGGCCGCTCTCGAGTCCCAGCAACTCCGAAAACTGCTCCAGCGTCTTTTCATTGATAGTATGAGCTTTAGTATTGTTATTCGTACTAGTAATACTAGTAGTACCAAAGTTAGTATTGATAGCATTCGTATCCGAATTTTTATTGTTGTTAGTGTTCGTCGTATCCTTCAGCTTCTGCGAACGCTGCAGCATCAAGATGCCCACTGGCGCCGCGTGCTGGCAGCTCTCCAACATGCCGTACTTCCTGAAGCCGAAGGTGACAGGAGGAGGAGGAGGAGGAGGGAGAAGGGGGAGAAGGAGGAGGAGGAGGAGGAGGAGGAGGAGGAGGAGGAGGAGGAGGGGAAGCAGGACGACGAGGAGGAGGAGGAGGAGGGGAGGATCAGGGGGAGGGGGTTTGAGACGGGGGGGGTGGGAGGAGGAGGAAGAGGAGGAGGAGGAGGAGGAGGAGAAGGGGAGGAAGAGGAGGAGGAGGAGGACGAGGAGGAGGAGGAGGAGGAGGACGACGAGGAGGAGGAGGAGGACGAGGAGGAGGAGGAGGAGGGGGGAGGGGGAGGAGGAGGCGGAAGAGTAGGAGGAGAGGAGGAGAGGAAAAGATGACAGAGGAGAAGGCGAGGAGGACAGAGGAGAGAGGAGATGGGAGAGAGGAGGAGGAGGAGGAGGAGGAGGAGGAGGAGGAGGAGGAGAAGCATGGGAATATTTAGGATGCTCGTCGATTCCCCTCCTGTTTGGCATCATCCTTCTGCCCCGTCCTCCTCTTCTTCCTCTTGTTCCTCCCTTCTCCTCCTACTCCCACAGAACGGAGGCAGAACGACGTTACACCCATCAGTCCAATCCCCCCATCCTGCTCCCCGTCTCCCCCTCGGAATCGGAATCGAAACGACAGGTCTAGCCGAGCAGAACACGCCAACGTGCACGCAGCTCAAAGCCGACCTGAGAGAAAGGTAGAGAGGGAGACAGAGACAGAGAGACGGAGAGAAAGAAAGAAAGGAAGAACGCAAGAAAGAAAGAGAGAGAGAGAGAGAGCTCTCCGCCCTCTCCTCCCTCATCGTCGTCGTGGTCGTCGCCGTCGTCGTCCTGCAGTCAGAGCGGCCCGTGGGGAGGCGGAAAGTCCGCCTGCCCCGGCAAGACGCCGGGCCGACATTGCTGGCGAGGTGTGAAAATATCCTAAGGTGCGAAAATGTGATACAACAGTGCGAGATGTTACCGCGGCGCAGCGTGACAAACGTAGTCGTCGTCATCCTCATATTTATGATTTGCTGTCTACCTCATCCTCCTCCTCCCCTCTCCTCCCCCGTCGTCGTAATGGTCGTCCTCCTCACCCAACTCCTCCGTGATAGCCTCCTCATCCTGTTCACTTGACGATTCACATGTCATCCTTCGTCGTCGTCGTTATCCTCCTCCTCCTCATCATCACCATCAGCACTGTCATCATCATCTTCAGCAGCTGCAGCAGCTGCAGAATGATCGTCGTCGTCGTCATCATCATCATCATCATCATCATCATCATCATCACCACCACCACCCATCATCATCATCATCATCATCATCATCATCATCATCATCATCATCATCATCATCATCATCATCATCATCATCATCATCAGCGTCAGCATGATCATCATCATCATCATCATCATCATCATCAGCGTCAGCATCATCATCATCAGCATCATCGTCGTCGTCATCGTCATCGTCATCATCATCATCATCATCATCATCATCATCATCATCATCATCATCATCATCATCATCATCATCATCATCATTACCATCACCATCAGCATCAGCATCAGCATCAGCATCAGCATCCTCCTCCTCCTCATCCTCTTCCACCTTCTCCTCCTCCTCCTCGTCCTCCTCCTCCTTCTCCTCCTCCTCATCATCATCACCACCACCACCATCACCATCACCGTCACTATTATCACCATCATCTTCATCATCAGCATCATCCTCATCAGCAGCAGCAGCAGCAGCACCGTCATCATCATCAGCATCAGCATCATCATCATTATCAGCAGCATCAGAGTCAGCATCAGCATCATCATCAGCGGCATAAGCATTATCATCATAATTATCATCATCATCCTCATAATTATTATCATCATCATCATCGAAATTAACATCGTCGTCATCAGCAGAATCATGATCCTCGTCGTCATCATCATCATCATCATCATCATCATCATCATCATCATCATCATCATCGTCATCATCATCAGTATCAACACCATCATCCTCATCATCATCATCATCATCATCCTCGTCCTCATCATCCTCATCCTCCCCCTACTCCTTTTCCTCCTCCTCCTGCTCAACATCATCACCATCATCATCAGCATCATCAGCATAATCATCATCATCATCAGCATCATCATCATCATCATAATCATCATCATCAGCATCATCATCGTCGTCATCATCATCAAAATCACCATCAGCATCATCCTCGTCGTCGACGTCCTCGTCATCATCAGCATCATCAGCATCACAGTCATCATCATCAGCATCATCATCTTCGTTTCTATCATCATCATCATCACCACCACCATCACCACAATCACCACCATCATCATCAGAATCATCGTTTTCATCATCTTCATCACTACCATCATCATCATCATCATCATCAGCAGCAGCATCATCATCGACCTTAGCACCGTCGTCGTCATCAGCAGAATCAGAATCATCATCATCATCAGCAGCATCATCATCACCACCATTTCTCCTCCCTGGTCGTTGCCCTCCTCCTCCAAGAGGAATTCGGCGCGCTCTCGTGGCAAACAAGTACAAACCCTCCCAGCCCTCCTACACCCATATCCCCCCCCCCCTCCCCACCCCTCTCCCTATCCGCTCCTGCGAGGAAGCGTGCAGTGGCAGCAGGTACTGTCAGTGCGAGAAGGCGGGCAGGCTCAGCAGCGAGTCAAGAGCGAGAACGCAGGCACTGGCAGCGGCGGCTCTCGGTGCCCCAGGCAACGCATGAGCGAAACATCATCCGCTTCAAAAATGGGGTCAGCCAATACGCGGAAGCAGGCAGTACGAGAACAGCGATCGTGGGAGCAGCATCTCAGCTACAATGCAGGGATCAGATCGTGCAGGGCAGGATAGAAAAAAGGCCTGCATCGCGCGGTGCTGGCGCTGCAAGATGGAGCCGAAGCACCGGGAAAATGCGACAAAGCATATCTAAACGGATTCATGAGGCCATTGTGCGGCCGTGGCCGCTCAAATGTCAACTCCAAAATCAAGCTGTTTGCATCAATTTTCGCTTCCGGAAGTGACTCGTGCACGTCGCACACACGCGATAATCTGTACAACATGAGTTGGTTCGCTGGATCCTGACTCGCCGTAGTGCTGGATCCATACTAAATGATGCTCCCCTCCTCCTCATCCTCCTACTCCTCTTCCTCCATCACCTTCCCCTGCCTGCTCATTGTGATCCCGCATCATTCGCGCTGTACACACAGACGCAAACAAACACACCCACACACACACACACACTCACTCACTCACTCACTCACTCACACTTACACATGATCGTGCAAGCTGCCATGTTGCACGGCCTGTTTGGATCACGAAGCTTTAGATCCTTAAAAATTGGAGTTCCCACTGCAGGGTTGGCCACATTTGAAGGGGCCCTGGGACACACGAATAAATACACACACATAAAATGATTCCACATAGTTTCCCATATTTTCTGTGTTTGTGTCTTCCCGCCCAATTCCCATGTTTTCCTATATAGTCCTGGGACTCGACGATTAATTGTGTCTGTGTGTTGCTTTCTCTCCTGCACATTACAGGATCGGTGCAACTCTGCCGTCGCTCAGAATGGCGCTCTCGCGCCAGCGCGGGCCACGCTTCAGGATCCGACGCGCTCCTCGTCGCTGCCGCTCTCCTCTGTTCCCCCTCCGCCTCCCGCCAAATTCTCCTGCCCCGCGAACGGAATCCTCGTCCGATCCGAATTCCCTTCGGTACACACTTGCCCTCAGCCTCCTCCTTCTCCTCCTCCTCCTCCTCCTCTTCCTTCTCCTCCTCGTCCTCTTCCATTCCTGGTTCCCTATGAATAACTACTC